ATATGTTTTATCATTCAGGCAAAGTACTACATTGGGCGGCAATTTATATTACAGTGTCCTGAAAATTACAAAAATAAATAAAACAGGAAATGTATTCAAATCTCACCTTTTTCCAAAACTTTGCTACAACTCATAATTACAAAGGCCATAAATGTTTAGGAAGCAGAGATGAAATGGGAAACACTGTCAAATGTGGGGAGGAACAGAAGCCCTGGACTATACATAGATACCCTCCAAATTGGGTATTAGGTCAGTATCAGAGAGAAAAGTAGCCGGCCACTTCAGCTATGGCTTCAGATGAGGCAAAAGCTATGCTGCCAAGTTACAGAGGCTGCTCTTCTTCCATTTCTTTAAGACTCATCAAAGAAAGCTCAGAAACCACTATTTGGGTGGGAATAGGGGTTCACAAGGTCCTTGGGCCACCCCTTCCATAAACACATACTTTATTCCCATCCATGGCAATTCCTCCAGTCACTTGGTTGGACAGTTTGCCTAGAGCCAGGTCACTCCTTCCAGAAACCACTCACTGAAGAGGCAGAAAACTTTCTGTGCTCCAAGTTAAGGCAGGCTTCCAAACTGGGCCCCCCAGAGGGTGGCCTGAAGCCTCAGGAACACAACTGCACGAGGAAGCACCCACCAGCCAGGAAGACAGGGAGGGCCAAAAGAAGCATCTCCTAATGGGGACCTGGCCAAGCAAGGAAAACATTCAGCTTCATTCCTCCCAATATCCATGCCACTACCTTCCATTTTCAAAGAAAGACATCTTTGAAGAAAACAGCCAGCAGACAACCTAAGAATCATATCATCTCAGATTCACATTTCCCAATGGACTTCCTAGTTCTCCACAAATAAAATCTCCCGCTCACTCAGGTTCCTCACTCTAATGATTGGGAGGTGGAAGCGTTGGAGGGGGGAGCTATGTCTAGAGAGACTGGAGACATCCGATCAGAATTCAAGGCAGCTTCTCTCAACTCTCTTGTTTATAGAAAATGAATGTCTGCCTGGCTTGCTTTAGTTCAGGAAAGGGGTCAGTCTTTATCAGCACGGTTCACACAGATTCTAGATTTTTTTTCCCTTATCTTAAATTGACCCGCTTTTAAGATAAAGACATAATAGAGAAAGTATTGACCTTACCTGGTCCCTAATGAGTTGGAAGTCAGAAAACCTCGCTCTCATTTCCTCTTATCTCGATCGCCTGGGAAGAGATTCGCGCTACCTTTTGTGCACTTTCGCCTTGAGATAGCCCCTCACCGACGCCCAGACGCCGCGGAGCGCGCGCGCGCTACGGGTGTGCGGCCTCTAAAGTCTGAGGATTCGTCCTGGGGTCTCAAAATCGAAGACTACTACGATGCTAGATCCAAGCCTTGTCGCTGGAGCTCCCTAGCACAACCTCGGAGGATATAAAATCCTTTGGAAAGCAAGCCGCTCCCCATGAAAGGCCAAGCCCTAAGCTGGGAAGTAGAGCTGCCTCCGGCTATGCCCTCCGACTGGAGCGCTGGGGGCCTCCCCCGCCTCCAGGACTAGGTGCCCAGAGCGAGTCTCGCCGAGGGGGCCCTGATGTGGCTGCGGACTCCAAGCTACTTCCCATCCCTCCAGCTCCTATCCCGAGCCACTGCCGGCTCTCCTGAGGCACCCGATGCCTTCACCCGCCTCCCATCCTTGAGGTGTCTCTGTTGTGGAAGCAGCAACACAGGATCCCTTCCTCCCCGCCTCTGGGCATCTCTGTTTGGTTCTTCACGCCTCCCAGAGCCCAGTCCAGTCCACGGACCGCCAGCTGAGAAGGCTGCTTTCCTTCCTGTCCTGCCCACAGGCCCACAGCTCGGGGTTCCCAGACTGGGGCGGGGGTGGGTAGCCGCTTTGGGATGCTAAACATCAAACAAACCAAGCCTGGGGTTTCAGGCCCTGAAGCCACTAGAGCGGCTCTCCAGGGCTCTCGAGATAGTCCTCCTGTTTACATGGCCGAGTGGGGGTGGGGTGGGGGATAGTAGGAAAGGGGGAGATGCTATCTGCAAAATCTCCCCCATTCCCGGAGCCTTTGGGGCCTAGGTTTGGGTGGGGTACTTTGGAAGGGGCAAAGTTTCTCGGGTATATCTGAACAAACTGATCTGCCCCCTCACGTGAGGGAAGTTTTCAACTTTTCCAGCACCTCAACGCCAGATGCATTCCCAGAATACTGATTTCTCTTTCAGGGAGGCCAGAAACTACCAGGACCCGAGTTGCTGGAAACCTAAAATAGGAGACTCCACGAGAGGAACCCTGCACACTCGTCAAGAGACGTTTAAGACTGCTTTCCAGGGCTACTTCCTGCAGCTGCAACAAATCCCCCAGCTAGGACCGGGAGCCAGTGGACCTAGACTGATTGATGGCGAGAGGCTGCGGAGGCCCTGTTTGTATAGGTCCCATCCGCAGACCCGGCTGAATTCACCTTTTCCCGGGACAAGTAAACAGACTTCAAACTAAGCCGGCGGGGAGAAGAATGTGTTTGATAGAAACTCCATCCTGTGATAAGGCCAAGAATATCACAGCACACTAAAACGGTGACTCCCAGGAACCGGCCCCAGGTAGAAAACAGGCAGGGGGCAGCACAGTGGTGCGCGCCATGTCTCTGTCCAGGCTAGTCCCTTGCCCAGCCACCCTGAGCTGGGTGCCTTGTCACAGAAGGAAAGCTGCCCCTTACACAGCAAATGTTCAAACTTTTTGATTGTTTTCCCAAATGAAATGCCTCCTGAAATTTCCCCAAACCGGCTCACTCTTTAGACCCAACCAACCATCCTTTCAGAATCTTCATGTCCCACCTGGATATTGAAAACTTATCTCAGTAGCCAGGCCTGGTTTCTGAGGGAGAAAGCCCACACTAACCCCTAGTTCTAAGGCACACCGAGAGGCCTCCTCTGGAAGACAGTGAAAAGGACTGCTAGATGCCGGGCAGGCATTTCTGGCTTTCTGCTTCATTTACAAAGTCTTGGGGATAAAGCTGGGGATGTGGTGTGGGTATTGGAAGGGAAACTTGGAGACTAAATGAAATGGAAAGAAGAGGAAGAAAAGAGGGAGGGAAAAAAGCATGAAGGGGAAAAGAAAGTTGAAAATCTAGGCAAGGCGTGAATGCATGCCAAATATGAATCAATCTTCAACAACAAGTACTTCCAGACCTAGAGGAAAGTGCTAGGAGGGGCATCTTCCTGCAGTCTTTTAGACTGTCTTTTCTCTGTAGTTTCATCAGGGGTGACAGGAAAGGAATAACAGCCCATCCAAGGGACTATAATGTTTCTCTCTGATCACAAACATTTCTTCCACCACCAACACCCCTGGCTCACCACAGAAACCTCAATATTTCCCCCAACACATATAACTGAAAGCTGGGATCAGGAAATTAGAGATTGAAAAAAAAAAAGGGGCAAAAATTATTTTTTTGGGGGGGGGGGGGCAGGAGAAAGAGGCATCACTGCAAAGATTTAGAAAACAGAGATGGAAATCTCAGGAACAAAGAATAAAACCCCAGCTTTCAAAGTCCTGCCAGAGGGATCCTCATTCCAGCCATCTAGTTAAAGACACTGACCAAGGAGCAGCCAGGAGGGGAGGAAGTAGAGAGGTGGAGTGGGGGGCCATTGCTGATTCCTGAACAGGGATCACTGCCTCAAAACCAAAATAAAACCCTGAATGGCTTCCCTTTCGAAAACAGCCACCCACCAAATTCTAACTGTAAAAGAGCTTGGTTGAGGATTATAAATATTATGTTTGATGTTCATGTCTACAGAAATAATTCCTTCACCAGAAATGATAGCTCATTCAGGATTATTTCAAATGGGTATCCTGGACCACTGTTTTAAAACATTGGCTCAACTGTATAAGACCACAGTACATAGTTTTGAGGTTTCTAAAAACAAAAGCCTTGCTTTGAAAACAAGTCCTATGGTTTCTTTTTCTTCTTCTCTTCTTCTCCCTCTAGGGTAGAAGTAGTGTAGCTTTCTGTCCTCTATTACTGAGTAGCAGGGCTGCTCAAGATTTGATTCCACTCAATTGCAAGGTAGAATACAATTCCCTCTTCCTTCGGGACAGGAACTCTGGGCCTGGCCTCATTATCTAGTTCAGAATCCTTAGAGCTCAAATCCAAACAATTCAGATCCCATCAGGCCAAAGATGAGCCCCCCACTGCCACCAGCACTAAAAAAGCTATTTAAAGTCAAATCAAAACCAAACAAGAAGAAAGTTTTTTAATCAGAAAAAGAACCTTTTAATTTGTATAATTTATTAGAAGCTTCTTAGGAACTATATTTAAGCCAAATATCTACATAAGTTACAACAGAAAAAGACTGACGCTGCAAATACCAAACTGCCAAATAATATACACAGATTTGTCAATGCCCTTAAAAAAATGAGGGACTGGGGATGGGGAGTGGGTTTCTTTTTACAACAAAATGTACAGATTACTAAAAACTATGAATTTGTCCAACTTTTGACAGCATTTTACAGCTACAAGTTCACATCAAACATAAAACAATTTTCCAGAGGGACGGTCTGGGGCTGAACCTATAGGGCCAGAGGGCGTCTGGGAGGAGGCACTTCCTTTGTGTCAGTGACAAGTGGGTTATGTCCAAGAATCTTTCCTCTCCCCAGCACCCTTCCTCCCTTCTTAAAAAAAAAAAAAAAAGAAAGAAAGAAAGAAAGAAAGAAAAAAGAAAAGAAAAAGAAAAAAAATCTGGTATTTACAAGAGAGCCCACTTTGCTGTCAGAGTGTACCCACAGTGAAGTTTGAGATCTTTAGAGTCCAGAGCCATACCAGTGTACAGCCCTCTCCAAACTGTGCCCCGCCCCAGCGTGGGAAATCAATTTGAATCACGGAAAAGACACCCCAGAGCTGTTCTTTCTATGTCCTTCTATGTTTAAAGACTTCGTAAAGAATTGAATTTGCTTGGTTGATTTTTATTTTCTTTTTCTTTTTTAAAAAAAAATCCACAAATTTAGAAAGAAAGGAAGAGGGGGGAAAAGACGTCCAGCAGTTTGGCCTTTGTGTATTTTTCCTCGGTCTAAACGCTGACAGGTTCTTAAGAAAAGTAGAAGCGCGTGGAGCAGCGGGTGTATGGTGGTCTGTGTGGCGGGCAGAGGGGAAGCGGTGAGGCAGCGCGCCGGGCTAAGGCGGGCGGAGTGTCCTCTCACCAGGTCCGACCGTATAGCAAGGTGGAGCAGGACATGGTGCCATAGTCCGAGCCTGAGGAGTTCAGGTGGGACAGGCTGGAGACCTGGCCCTGCAGCGCTGCGGGACTGGCTGCGTGGTGCGCCAGGTCCGGAGACTGGCCTGCGCTGCCAGGCTGGTGGCCCGGGTGTGCCCCCAGGCCCGCGCCACCGCTGCCGACCGAGATAGCTGCTGCTGCCGCCTGGGCGGCCTGAGCCTGCTGCTGCGCCTGCTGTTGTGCGTGGCCTTGTAGACTGGCGGCGCCCGGCGCCTGGGCGCCAGCCTGGCAGGGTTTGCCGTCTTTCACTAGGACCGGCACTGCCACACGGCGCGGCGACTGCTGCTGAGCCTGCTGCTGTTGTGGGCAACCGGCGCCCCCGCCGCCACCCCCGCCGCCGCCGCCGCCGCTGTCCTGCTGCAATTGCTGTTGTGCTGCTTTGTCCTTGGCTTGGCGCTTCATTTTGTAGCGGTGATTCTGGAACCAGATCTTGACCTGCGTGGGTGTCAGGTGGATCATGCTGGCCAGGTGCTCGCGCTCCGGCGCCGACAGGTATTTCTGTTGTTTGAAGCGTCGCTCCAGCTCGTACACCTGAGCCTGGGAGAAGAGCACCCGGCGCTTCCGCCGCGGCGCGCTGGGCAGCGGGGCCATATTCTTGCTCACGTCCCCCAGCGAGCCCAGGCCGCCCATGCCGCTCATGTTCATGCCGCTCGCCGGGCCCATGAAGCGAGAGACTGTAAGCGACAAACGCACAGCGTCGGCTGGGACCGGGCGGGTTCAGGCCAACCCTACCTTCAGCGCCCTTGGCCCACCCGGTCCAACCCCGACGGCGCCCTCCTCACCCAGGCCTACTGCTCGGCTCCAGAGGTCTAGCCGCGCCGTCGAAGGAGCTCGCGGCTTCAACCCTGGCTACCCCCCTCAGAACTCTCTTTTGACTCAAAAAGCGCAGTGGGGGAAAGGCCGCTCCTTTTGTGCCCAAGCCGGATGTGAAGCACAGTGTTAGCCCGCCACAGGCAGAGGACAGAGCTCAGAGCCGGAGTTGGGGTCCAACAGTAGACCCCAACTTTGGGAAGTAACAAGAGCAGAGTGTTCACTTCAGAAACTCAAGCCCCCAGACGTTTTGCCTCTGCTGTCGGTCCCAGTGAAGGCACCAGCTCAGGCCATTTAGAGCCCCCTGCGGAACCGCGCGCCCTCCTCCCTGGCCAGACTCCGCTAGAAAGCGGGCCAGGCCGGGCGCCTAAATGCGTCCCAGCAGGGCGGCCTAGCTCCTGGCCAGGCCTTGCCTCTCCATGCGCTGCTCACCCTTGCTCCCTCAACTCGGGGGTGGCTTTGATCGGCTCTCAGAGGTCTTAGGCGCGCAGCAGAGCTGCCAGTTAGCCGCGCCTGGAGATGCTTAGTAGAAGCACCTGTTCACAGGACCAGCGTTACCAAGTGTCTCTTCTTGGATCCCCAGCCCAGCAGAAGGAAGAATCCCCAACTCCTGCACCCATCTCCCAGGCGCCGCTGCCAGGCTGCCCACCCTGATGCCTAGCTCTCAGCCGGACCCCTCCACGCCTCCTATGCTCAGCCCGCGGCCCCGCAGTGGGGCGGCCTCACTTACTGGCGGGGAAGCGCGGGTCTGGGTTGGCGCCGTACCATCCGGGGCCGGAAGCGCTGTTTCGCATGGTGTCCTGGTAGGGCGGCAGCTCGCTCATGTTGCCCAGGTTGCCGTTGCAGTAGCCCCCCACAGCGGAGTGCGAGAGCTGGGGCACCCCCGCCGCCGTCATGTGGTAGGCGGCGGTGACGGCGCCGTGGTGCCCCACGGCGTGCTGCTGCATAGCCGCGGCCGGCGGTGCCGCCTGGCCCTGCCTGTACGCCGCTAGCGGAGCCCCGAGGCCGCCGCCCTCCATGCCCACTTTCTTGTAGCTTTCCTCCAGGGGACTCAAGATGTCAGACACTGAGAACGGAGTCGTGTGCTTTGGACTCATCGACATGATTCGGCGGCGGCTGGAGGAGGAAGGAAGAGGAGGAAAAAAAAGGGAGAGGGGGAAGGCGAAGCTTCGCTACTTTTTTTTTTTCTCCCTTTGCCAAATATTCTGGTGTTACCTTAACGCCGATCTTGTTGGATGTACACGTAACGGAGTGGACCGAGTCCGCCTTAATTGGCTTGAGTGGAGGCTCGGGGGCTGCCTCGCGTTTGTTTTAGCCCGGCGCCAGGTTTTAGGCAGCCACCAGAGGCGGGGCATAAGCGCTAAAGCAACAAGACAATAGAAGCCTACATCTTGCCCGAGATAATTAGCTTACATGCTGATGACAAGGTAAACACCTTTAAGTTTCACTTGTCAGGATTTTTAGGTCTCAAAGAGGGAGGGAGGGACAGAGAGAGAGAGAGAGAGAGAGAGAGAGAGAGAGAGAGAGAGAGAGACCCAAAGCATTTCTTTCCCTCTCCCCTAGACACCCCCATCCCCATTTTTTTGTGGGGTGCCGGCAGCGCACGGGGAGGAGGCGGGGGAGGGGAAGGAGGAGGGGACCGAGAGCTGGGAAGGCAGGAGGTGGGGTGGAGAGTAGCCGAGGAGGAGGGATGGGGAGGAAGGAAGGTGAATACTGCTTTGCAACCAACTTGAGGAGTTACAAAGTGGAACCACTTTCCAATTCGGTCGGGGTTCCCCAGGAAGGGACAGGTCTTTAGGAGGAGGGGGCCGAGGGACGGGGTGGGGGTTTCACCTGAGCCTGCTGGGGCTGCTCCTCCCTCCCGCCGCGGCCTCCCAGCCCCGCGCCTTCCCACTGCCTCCGGACCACATCGGGCTTCGCTGCGCAGAGCCCCAGTCGCCACCAAATGAGCGAGCGAGTCTGGGGACGAACCCTGGGGCCGCACTGTTGGTCTACGTGTCTGTCAGTCTGTCTGCCTCTTCTGCCGCCGTCAGAGGGACACCTCTGCTCCCCGCCCCCTTTCCCCTTACCGGAGAGAATCCTAGCGGGCGGAGGGGGAGCTGAGTAAGGGAACAACTGCCGCCGGGAGGCTGTCGCGGATCCCCGCGCCTCCCCCCACCCCCAGCTCAGGGCTTCTTAGCGGGCCACCCCCCATCACACCCCCACACCCGCACGCTGTCTCCCCACCTCCACCCCCGGTTGAGGCAAGCACACCAGTAGCCTCCTGAGCTAGGAAGATGGGGAACGACTAACATGAGAGTCCATCACTGAAGTTGTCCCTGGTTGACAAACCTGGTGTCCCTGACCCTGGCCCATTGTCTGGACACTCAGGATTCTGGGGCTGGAACCGACTTTCAGAGGACCTCATAGCCTCAGAACCAGAGAGGAGAGCCTCTCTGTTTTCCCCTTGGGGGGCTTCCAGAGGACACCGGCAACCGGCGGCGAGAGAGCCCTCTCGCCTGTACTCGGGTGGAACTAAACCTGAACCCTGGCGGGACCCGCTGACCGGGAGGGGGCGAATACCCTGGCGCTGGCAACCTAACGGGCGGGAGGCTGGGCTGAAGCTCTCCTCCGCCCCGGAGCTCAGCCATGCAAAAGTGCACTTGCTTCCCCGGGAATAACCAAATATCTTTGTTTAAAGTGGCTGCGTAAATGGCCAGTCGCTTTGTGGCCACGCTGGATATTAGTAGATGAGGATCATTCTACTTCAATTGGGCACCTCTCATCCTGCGAGCAAGAAACTGCTTAGGAGGAAGTGGGTTTCCTGTCTGAGCGTTCCCAGGCTTCAAGTGTGAGCCCCGCGCCTTGAGGGTCCTTGGGCGCCTGGCGAGGGGGAGCTGTGGGCTGCGCTCCCCAGCGGGGCCGGGGGCGTCAGATGCGTGGCTCTGGCGGTCCGGGATCTGCAGCCGAGTTGACTACCCGCGGCACGGCGCAGATTTTGAGACCAACTTAGACTTTCCCTCTTGGATTTTAAACGCTTTCGTTGTTTGTTTTTGTTTTGCTTTTTCTTTGGTGGTTTTAGCTTTCTCACTGCGCTGGGGACTGAGAGGGCGGAGCGCTTTCCCGACCGACTGATGCCTCCAAGATACTTCGGAGGCCAGTCAATGAAGCTCCTCGAATTTTTTTGTTTCCTTGTTTTATTTTCCCTCCTTGTAGTGAGGGAACTCCCAATAATAAACAAGCAGGTTTTATCTACTTAATTCAGCAGGTTAAACTCCTTTTTCATTAATAGCAATTATAGTAGTGAAAGTTATTCTGTTTGCTTTTTAAGATCTCTATCCTCTCCTTGAAGAGTGTTCTGTACTCCTTCAATACAAAGCCAACTTCTGTACTAACATTCGCTTTCCTCACCACCTACCTCATCCCCCACCTCACTCCCAGACCTCCCACCTGGACCCTCGTTTTTTTACAGGACCCCCACAGTGGCTTTGGGGCAGGCAACCCTGCATTTTCGTGCAGAGATGCGCTTGCAACACGCGTGGCTAAAGACAGGTGCAAAGCTGGGCCCTGCACCGGTCTTTCCCAGGGGCTTCTCTGGGGGGCGCTCTCAGGAAGAACTCAAACCACATCAGTTGTGCTTTGGTCAATGTAATGTCTAAGGTGTAGGAAGGGAGGCGTCGTGGGGTTCAAGTGCAAAAGTTCCGGTAAAGCGGAAAGCGGATTTTGACTGTAGGCGCAACACAGATGGGCCCAAATCCAGAATGGGGTCTTATCTGGAAGGTGGAGTGGGTTTCCCAGTTACTCATCTTCTATCTCTTTCTCTCTCTCTCCATTATTTCATACGTGGTAAATGTAGGAAACACCAAGCGTCCAATGTCGTGCACCTCTCCCTCAATGCCATTTAGAAATGGTGATAATTCTTCGACATTTTTAAAATGAGATTCAAATAAGATCCAACATATCAAAGTGCTTTCAAAGCCTTGACATTTTTAAAGCTCATTGCCAGAACCCCAGATTTCTGTAGTTAGGATGCCGGACCTGAGTGAAGAGTTTGATGACTCTTCCACAGCCCCGGAGTTGTGCCTCCTCAACTTTCCTCCCTAGGCAGCTTAGCTCCAGCCCCGCAGCAGGCCCTGGATGCATGTGGCTGGCAGCTTCTCGGGGCTAAGCCTCCAGTAGAATCAGGGTCTCAGATCTGGAAGACACCCTACTCCTGAGCCACCTGGACCGTGGTGGTGGGTGGGATTGGGGCGCAAAGCAAGAATTAGAGCTCAAGGGGTGGAGCGGACAACGGCTTCGCTCTCTCCCTGAAATTAGGACTACGTTTCTATCTTCAGCTGCTGACGTGGCAACAGCCAGCTCCAGCCTAGTCTAGACCTCACCTGAGACTTTCCTGCTGGCTCCCTGCATCCCGGGCCCCAGGCTTCTCTCCCACGTGTGCAGGTTCATACACACCCACCGCGCCGCCTTCTTTCCCCCCCCCCCCCCAGCACGCTGCACTGCTAAGGATAAGCCCAAAGACCCCGGGGCCTTGTGGGGAAAAGGCAAATATGTGTATCTCTGGGCTTGTCCAAGCAAAGACCTGTGAGTCCTTTCTCTGGCCCCAACACCTTTTTCTGACCAAAGAGCATCCTTTCTTCCTATCTCCTCCCTGACTCATCCTGAATAGGGCAGACTCGAGTTAAATCGGTGTTTTCTCCACGGCTGCCGGTTATAGCCGAGAATCCAGTCTGCTTCTCCCGTCCCGGCCCTCGCTTCTTCCTTGGCCCCGCAACTAACTTGCTCCCGAGTGGAGTAGATGCGGTGGGGAGCCGGCAGAGCAGAGCCCAACGCTGGCCTCTCCTCGAGTTTCCCAGACGCTTTCTCCAACGACTGTTGGGCTGCACCGCCCTATCCTGCACTGCAATCCTCTGGGGTGGAAATGGAAGGATAGGGCACTGCCTATGAAGATCAGACTCCCTCAGAAGAAGAGAGTCATGCCCTCGGGCCTTACGGGTGCGAGAGCTCGCTATTCTCTAGGGTCAAGCCTTCCAGTTTTGGTCTTGGGCACTCTGCCTCCCTGGCAGCAGGTCGGCCAGGAATCGAGGAGCTGCGGAGGCCCAGGCCCAGTCCTAGAGGTGCTGAATGGCCATCAGCCTTTACACCCACAGGGAGGCCAAAGGGAGATTCCCTTCTTTCCCTCCAGTGTCACTTTGCGAGACAAGAACAGAGAGATCATTATAGAAGGCTAGTTCTGTAACTCCAACGGGTGGGATGTTGAGGAGGAAACACCAGTCTCACCTCCCTGCTACCCTTCCCTGACTTGCTTTTTCCAACTCTTTTACAATCCTTTATATCTCCCGAGGGCAATAAGTGTGTTTCCTGTTGGTGTTGTTTTGCTCAAGTTTTATCAAAATTCATGATTCATTCAACAAATATTTATCAGGCACTATACTGGGTTAGAAAATTCAGCCTTCAACAATCTTGATGAAATTACTCCCCATATAGAATTTACATGTTAACAATAAATCTTCCCAGTAATATGTAGTTTGTGACAAGTGTTACTGAATATCCAATCCAGATAGGGTTGTAATGAAGTTTTGTGGTGGGGGGGGTGGTTTGCACTGTTTCCCAATTTTCTTAGTGCTCTCTCCAAGGTTGTGGGATGAACCCATGAGTAAAAGTTAGAAATCTTGGAGTTTGAGCCTTGGCTTCACTATTTTTCAATTGTGCAGTATAACTCTTGTAGGTTCCCATCATATCCTGGAGCAACCTCCATCACAAGCAGATTAAACTATTGTGTTTTCTGACTCCCGTCGTCCAGGACAGACCCTTGTCTCGAGAAATGCTAAAGCCCCCAGTGCCTCAAAAAATATTATGGGAACAAAGCTGTTTCCTCACCTGCAAAAATGGTTGTAACCTGCCCTGTGTATCTTATTGGATTGTTGTGCTAGGGCCTCAGATAATTCAGGAAGAAATCCTGTGCCTGAGTTGTCCAACAGAAGTTCTTCCTTCTGATTCTATATTTTGGATTTAAAGAAACAGTAAACCTCTGACCCTCTGTTAGAGGGAAGCACTTGCAACCCTCTTTTGCTCCAGCAGGTCTCCTTTGGCTGTAGGCTCCACTCTGGGCTGAGGTGGGCTCAGGAATTCTGTCAGGCAACCGCTCCCAGAGTCCAAGTCAGGCATGAAACCGGGAGCTGGGGTTGATACTTGCCATTCCGGAGATCCAAGGAGCGCCTTTAAAAGATATCTTCCTGACTTCTGCTCCCTGAAAGATCTCACAGGGTGCTTCCATCTGCCTACCTAGGCTCCAGAACTGAAAACATCTGGAGCGTCTGCGGAGGCACGGCCCCCAGCAGGACAGCTTTCGCAGAGGTGCATAAAAGAGATTCCTATATTTCTCTCTCTCTCTCTCTCTCTCTCTCTCTCTCTCTCTCTCTCTCTCT